AGGAAGATGAAAAGAGAAACACCCACAGCGAGTCTTTTTACAGGCAGAAACAAGAGGTGACAATATTTCCAACAATAATTACTAATACCCATCCTGATCAAAACACTGCTGACATAGGCAGTAGAATTTATAAAAATAACAAATAAAAAAATAAGCAGAACAAAATAATCTTTGTTGTGGAAGTCCTATGCATAAGGCAGGCCATTTGTCAGTGTATCAGCTTTATCATTCAGTCTGACTAGGCCTTGATGACTTTGCAGAGCCAGAGAGAGAAAATGTTCTTGTTCCTCCTCCTCCCCCCAAAAAGGGGGGCAGAATAAAATTACGGGAAAATATTGTTTGTTCAGGCATTTACTTTTCAGGAATCTGAGAGCATTGTTATTTATTTATTTATTTATTTTTAAGTGGAGTTTTATACAATTTGAAAACTTTTTATGGTCCAAATATCCAAAGCAATGTATATTTGTTCTCAAAATCTTCAGAATTTGATCAAATACTAAGGAAAGGTATGTTCCAATAGAGAGAGAGAAAAAAAAAAAAAGACTGCTAACTTACCCATGGCAGGTTATCAACAAGCACAATCTAATATACAATATTCAAAAACATGTAAGTGATTTATGAAACTGCTTTTCAGTATCAAGTATTAAGGAGTAAATGGACTTAAACTCCTAGTGATTTATGAAACTGCTTTTCAGTATCAAGGAGTAAATGGACTTAAATTCCTAGTACCCAGGTCTTCAAAGGCTCTTCTTAGCATCACATCAGTGAACAGTCAGCTGTCAAGTTTACCACTGAAATTCAGTTCTAAGATAGGCTGGAGAGATGGGTGGCTCAGGAGTTTTGGAAAATAGTAGTTGAGCAGCTGGATAGAAAGAGCAAGCCGAGAAGAAGAACAGGAGAAAAAGAAGGCTTGTTTGATATGATGTGGGTAGTGTCAAAAACAGAATCCAGATTTTCATTTCTTTGCTGAGACAACTAACTGTCCTTTTGAGGAACTGAATGAGCAAATTAAATCAAATTGAATTACATGTTACAGAATTAAATTAGTCATAGGGGTTGGATTCATTCTGTGGTCCACTAACTCCAATTCAGTTTCACTAGACTCCTTCAAGTCACTTACTCCCTCTTTCTCTTTTTTTTTAGATTTTTTTCTTTTATTTCTTTAATCTCCTCTGTACAGTCACCTTTTTAATAACATACCCACACAGACCTGCATGCATACCTTTCCAAGATGTATTTTTCTTCTTTTATATTTCGTAACTTACTTAACTGACCTACTGTGAAAGAACCACAAGTATTTGTTAAGTCAATAGAATTCAAAATTTGTTGCTAAAGTAATACAATTGCAATATTGCAATTCATATTTTAAATATGATAAAAATATTATCCATGACAGCCATATCTCTAATCTAGGACATCAATCATATATTGCTATGGCACTGGAGGATCAAAGAAATTAAGGAATCCTTCACTGCATAAGCCAGTGTGGACTGAACAAAGTCCTGGAGAATGTTAAACAGGAACCCGCAATGGATGGACCTGGGATGACTTAACAGAAGTTTCCCTTGCATGCTCTGTCTGGCAGGCTACTCCGGAGCCGAAAAAACAGATTACATAATACATAAATAGCAAAATGTTAGAAGAAACAAGAAAACTACAGAGAGGGCAGCAAGAATCTTGCACTAGTTTGTTTTGGGGATTTTGCTGTTAACTTTTCAGTGCAGTATTATTCTCATGATTTGAGCAGCTTTTACCTGCAGGTATCATCTACTTACTTTACAAATTTAATTAAAATTAATCTTCACAAACCTCCCCTGATACATGATAGCATTAACATTCTCATTTGTCATGTTAGGAAATGATACATAGGGAAGTCATTCGACTTTTTGTACTTGCATATTGTTTTGTTAGTGAAGATGTAAAGATTATCTGGGATGCCTGAATCCCTCTTCTTGCTTTAATCACTGCATCTTACTGTTGCATTCAAGTTCAAAAAGTTTTCACAAAAAGATGGACTTTATTTTCCTCTTTCTTGCTCTGCAGAAGATAACCATAAAATGGTCAGCTAATGATGTCATCATTTCAGTACTTCCTCATTTAAAAAAACAGTATTTCACTAGGCTTATAGTATGGAAAAGAATTCTCTCTTGTAACTGTCAGTCAGGGTTCTCTGATTCAGCGCTTTAGGGAGCACTGAGATTAAAAGGCACTATATATATAAGTTTATAAATGCATGAAAGAAAGGACTAACAACAAGACAAATTAAACTTAGTAATTTGTTTAACAGACCTCACCTAAGAAAACCATTCTTATTGAAGCAAATAACATTTAATTATTTGTCTAAGCGCAGATCTCATTTGAGATCTTAATACCACAAAATATTTTCTAGACTCCTTCAAACCATCATTAACATTTTGTTGAAGTATAATGAATTTGCCACTTATGCAAAATTTATATTGCAGATCAGTGACACTTCATTCTTTAAGGCTTCGATTGTTTAGCATGCACTAAGCCTTAAAACCTTCTTGTGATTAAGTGTGATAAATAGGAAAAATAAGGCCCTCACTTTCTAGTCAGATATTGCATGTCTGAAACTGAGTTACTATACCCTGATTAGTTTTACATCTGTGCTCTTAAGCGGGCAGCAGCCAACGAGGTTGTTCCCAGCCCAGCCCTTGTCTACCCTGCAGTGCTCTTCCAATTGCAAAGTACACGGTGCTAAAGGCATGACCACGGAACCAGGCAGGTTTCCCAGAATCTGATGAACTGTGTCCTTGCTTACGAACTGCTGCTAGCACTACTGTGTTTCAGTAGTGATGGCTGTGGGTGTTTTTCTGTTTCAATACTATATATAAAATACCACCTCCACATTAAAACGTCCATCACCACTTTCAGAGTAACTGTAGATTAAATTTTAGATACAAGCTTGAAATGAAGATTTCTTTGGCCACATCTGCATAAAAGAGAGAAAGATGCATCAAATAGTTCTAATAAGAAAAACAGAAACCCACAAACTGAAGTCTCATTCTTGTTCTGTCTTGCAGATTAGGATAAAATATTTCTTTTTTACTTCTTTCAGCATGAAATTGCAAAGGAGCTCCTACCATTTCCTAGCACTTCACCAACTGCACTTCAAAAAACTGGAAATATTGAAAATGCTGTACTTAGCTAACATAAATACTAAAATATAAGCTTTAGGAAATGGATAATAGATTGGAAAGATTTTCCATCCTCATTTAAAAGACTACAGGAATATTTATATCTGATACAGAAAAGTTTGTGATAGCTGCTGTGAAAAATTTTCACAAGACTTTGAAGCTAAATCTAAATCCCATATTAACTTAGATATCGCTTTTCTGATGCTATGATTAACCTATAATGTCATCAGTAGGAAAGGGAATCTTGAAAACTATTGCATATAATTTTTAATGCGTTACACTTTTAGCAAAAAGACCCATAACATCATGATAATTTTCATACATCTAGTCCTTTTCAAAGAAAAATAAAATGTCCATCTTGTATGCTGAATTGAATGAAACTTACTTGCTTTTCACAGGTTACTTCTGCATACGGCAAGATTTGTAAGACTTGGTGACCATTCCAGAGAGAAAATGGTTTGCACTTTGTATTCGTACAAGACAGCGGGAAAACATCTTCAGACTCTGTAAGATGAACTGAGGAATAACTCATCCTTTCTCACGAGCACACTAAACATGATAGCTCATAATCAAGACCACAGTTTTGTTGCACGATTTATTTTACATCTTATCCCATCCAGTATGTTACCTGCAAGGGAAATTTCATTACAGCTTTCTAGCAGTTGTGCTCTGCCATACAGGGATCCACTGCTTGGTTCTTAACATCGTAGTCTCAGGAGCAGTAGCAGGCTGCAGTCACATGCGACCAGAGCAGCAAAAACAGACTGCAGAGCGCGCCTCTCACGTTAGTGCAGAGCTCAGCTCGTAGCTTAAGTTGTTAGGTTCTCTGACACCTAGTTAATCTGCAGAAGTAATAGGTGTGTTACAGAAGTAGGAAGGAAGCACAAATAATCTAAGGTTGCAAGAAGGAAAAATTGTTTCTTCCCTGGGGAAGATATAACCAGTATGGTTTCTACATAACACATATATCGTCTCTCAACAAAACACACCAAAATCCCTTTTATTTAGCCTTATCAGGAGCAAACAGGAGTATCTGAAGGATTTGGTTTTTTTATTTGATTAGCCAAAATAAATGAATGATTAACACTCAATAAGAATATATCTATTATTTAAAGCAGTCACTGACATTATTTTGTATTAATTTGAAGAGGAATAAAGACCTTTACTGATTCTGTGTCCCGCTTTGCAATAGCTATTCCTTTTTCCTTTAAGGCCTCTTCCACTTAATCTTCAGGAGTTTGTAAAAGCTGCATGCTTATAAAACCACGGTGACCACAAGTGCTTTAACAAATACTGGTTAGAGAGTAGTCATCATTTTCTAACATAAACCTGCTGATTACAGATGGCCAAGATTTAGGTTTCTTAGAAATAATTTTTTTATATATTGTCAGATAAGCATTGGTCATAAGGCTACACTGGACAAAATACAAACCGCAGCGTACTTGCAATCTTTCTGCACAGATTTTATCACAATGCTTAAAGAGATCACCAATGAAATGCTCTAATGCACTTTGAAGAAACAGAAGGTAAAGCTAGGAATGGCGATTTCAGTATTTCACATTCAGGTCTATCTTTGTCCTCTATTAAAATTCCCTTAGTGTAGATATTATTTTTCATGTAATACATCAAAAGGATAATGTCTTGCCAAATGTTTCTTTGAGATTATTATAGGACTTTGGGTTTCATTCTGCATTATACTTATCAGAGTCCTTGCAGAGTGTGATTCATCGTCACCTATCTCTAGTGTTCTCTTTAAATCAGGTCTTCTTCCTGTAATGTTCACTTGCAACCTTGAGAATTGTGCATCCTATAAGAGATATTTACCCTCTCAACCTTTCCAGTAGATATTCCTTCTTAAATTTACAGAAGAGAATTATACTGTTCAGTAGGATCTTCACCTTGCATACTCCTGCATACTAGAATGCCCCAAAGAGGTTTTGATAAGAACTAAGAACATTATTTACCTTGCAGAGGACTCTGAAACTCATAGTCAGTTAAGTAAGGAAATCAGTGAAAAGACATTCCGATCTGATACATAAGATTATTTTTCCTAACCTAAATCTTCTTAAAATTCTTCTACTCACTCGTGAACACATGAAGTAGCTTTATCCGGCAGAAATTCTACATCTAGAGGACTAGTCTCCTGACAGCTGGTTTTCTTATGCAAAACTGTCCTTTTCGCTTTCAGCATACAAGCTATACACCATTCCCATACCAGTAGGGTAAAACCAGAGGACACATATCAATAGGAAGCAAAAGGGTGCACATTTCCTATTCGTAAATGATTTTAAATCAATGTAACATAAACTAGCTACTCTAAGGAAGTTTAATTTGTCATGCAAGTTATAGTAACCTATATTCTCTGCTGATGTGGCTGAGTCTGTTTTTTCTATTTTTCTTCTTTGTTAAACCAAAATCCTCAGACTTCTTCCTGTGAGTTATTCCTTTAATAGCATTTTGGTACCATTTTGTACACAGGGATGCAGATCTGATATGCATTATAGCTATCTAAACAAATTTTATATTTACTCCTAGAAGGACTACCAAAACAACTGACCTGGAAAACACTAGCTTTGAAAGAAAGATGAATTTTTCTTATTGACAATTATGGATAACAGGAAAAAAAAAAAAAGAAAGCTTTTCAGCATTGTTTAGTAAGTTCTTCACAGAACTTTTGTAGAACTTTGGGTATTGTGGAATATTTCTCTCAACATAAAGGAGATAAATGAAAATACTGTTAGAATGAATCATCATAATTCTGCATTAAGAGTCAAGCATCCTTGTTTGCCAGTATGTTGTTTACATGTAATAAAATGAAAACTACGCTATTCTTCAGTAATGATCCAAAATGCTTTAATTATTCTCTTTAAAGTGATTGTGTTTCGGACCATCACAGAAGAATACTGCAAAAATTTTAACAAACTTTTGATGGTTTAAAGTCACACTAAAAATGAGCTATATCCACATACAGAAAAAACAATATTTTATTTATAATCTTAGTTTAGTGTTTGAACTACAAATTCTGGTTCTAGAATTGTTTAAAAGATCATGGGTTTCACATGTTTGCACAAGTAAATTAATTTCTTGGCCTTTTTTTTTCTTTTTTTTTTTTTTTTACTTTTCCCCACTTCTCCACAGCAGAGTGGTCCTTTTGGTAAATGCAAAGCAGGTCATTACATGAGAAAAAAAGGTTTGTTTATTTCTTTTTCCCACTTGTAAAGTTGCTGCTAATATACCATTCCCTGTTGAATAATTTCAAAAGGGCGTGTGAAAAGAAAAAAAGAGAAAAATAAACAACAAAATAGACCAAATTTCACAACTAGAATTCACCATAAAAGTTCCCAAAGCGTAACAGAATTCTTACAAAATTTCCTAGACCAGTTCTTTTAGGGAATCAAGATCTCCTATGAAAAATATGGCAAATGGGAGTCATGGTACGTTGGGGAGGAAAAAGGGAAGGAGGACGGTAAATAAGTGCAGCAAAAACAGGTTCTGAGGAATACACATAATTTTGTCTGCTTTAGATCACAATAGAATTTTTAATAAATAAATTTCTTTTTCTTTGTAAAGACACTTTTTTGAAACAGTAGATTTAGCCCAGTCATTTGTGTCATTTGTTTTATAAACTGTCTGTCGTTGTCCCCCACCCCCACCCCCACCCCATACTGTCATAAATGTTTTAGATTTGATTCTCTTGTACATTGTCTTTTGAGTTCATTCGGATCAATAACGGTTCATGCACTGAACTGTGTATTGAATTTATTGTGTTAACTGTTGTTGTGTGGTTGAAAGGAGACTTATAAGAGTTATAGTGATTTAGGTGCTCATGCTCTATTGCTGGCATGGGCAAGTGACTCTCTATGGGTGTGTCACCTGTAAGCTCATCATCCACATTAATGATCTCTACAGTCCGTGTTGGAGCATGATGGTTCTGCCGGTGATGCTGTTTCCGCATTTTGTAGAAAATTACCAGCATCACAGCAGCCATGAGAGTGATAGCCACAAAACAACCAATTATGATTTTGGTAGTCTTCATAACCTCATCTATTCCTGGGATCCCATTGTTTGCGTCCGTCACAGGGATGGTGAATGTTTTTTCTGTTGATCTTGTGCTCTGTGGAGTAAGTGAGGTTGTCATGTTAGTGGTCTCCCAGTTGGTAACTGGTGTGGGCCCAACCTGCTCTGTGGTCTGTGCCTCATCCTGAGAAGGTTCCACAGTCTCTACTGTGACGGTTGAAAAGTATGTGTAACCAGGGTTATCCAGGGCAGTCACATTCAGTGTGGCAGAAGCTGTGGTATTCCCAACAGAGTTACTCACCATGCATGTATACAAACCTGTGTCTTGCACAGTTACCTTTGTAAAATTTAATGTGCCATCACTGAGCACAGCAATCCGAACTCTGTATGCCCCGTGTGTCATAACAGATCCATTTGGAGTAATCCAGGATACAGAGGTCAGGGAGGTTGATGCTCGACATTTCATCTCTGCAGCCATGCCTTCTGTGACGTTGAGGTCCGCTGGTGGCTCCACTATGACCGGAGCATAACATGTGAAGTAATTCAGGTCCAGCTCACCAATGTACCTTCCTTTCAAACTGGGAGGTGTGTGGCAACGGGCGCAGCATGCAGTATTGGAGGGTGCCTTATCTTTAATCCACCAGCTGAGCCAAAGGATATCACAGTTGCAGTTCCAAGGATTGTGATGCAAGTGGATCCTTTCTAGACGGAGTGGTGTGAACAGGTCATGAGGCAGCAGTGTTAGATTGTTGTGTGCCAGATTGATCTCCACAAGTGACTGAAGGTTATCGAAAGCATTCCTTTCTATCACTTGAATCTGAGACTGTATCATCCACAATTTTTGAAGATGCATTAACCCTTGGAAGGAACCTGGCCGGATGGCAGTCAGGTGGTTCCCAGAAAGATCTAACTCGTCCAGTTTTACAAGTGGCGTGAGGTTAGGAATCTCTCGAAGGTTGCACATGGCAAGGTTCAAATACCTCAAATTGGACAGACCTTCAAAGGCACCTTCTGAGATATATGAAAGCCTTTTCAATTCTCCCAGATCCAACCTCCGGAGAGACGGGATTCTGTTAAAAGCATAAGAAGGGATACTCTCAATGGGGTTGTTTCTCAGCCACAGTTCCTTCAGTTTTGATAGGTATACAAAAGCCCCATTTGGGATAGTGGTCAGACGATTGTCAAAGAGTTCCAAAGTATTGAGATTGGCCAGACCATTGAAAGCCCCTATTTCAATTGTTAGATGCTTGAAGCTATTCACTTTAATGATTTGGATCTGGTTCTCATGGAGATTGAGTAACCTGGTGTTGGTGGAGATGCCGTCTGGCACGTCTCTCAGATTTTTCCGTACACAAATCACTTTACTGAACTGGTTGCTGCAGGAGCAGACTGAAGGACAAGTTTGAGCCCTCACTAGACCAGCCACCACAAGAAGCTGAAGAGCCAGCAGCACCACAAGCAGGGGGTCAAATAGGGCCCTGTTAAACCTAGGACCTATCATTATCTGCTGTGGATGTAAGGACATCTTGTTCAACATTCATAATTTATTTGGTATTGGTCCTTCTGGAGTTTGAATAGCCTGAAAGAAAGAAAGGAGAAGGAGAACACTAAATTAATTCCAAGTATTTAAATGGGCTCTCTAAACAAAGACTTTTCAAGTCTTTTCAGTCAACTCTCCCAGTTTCATCAAATTCTATAGCTACAATTTTTACAAATTCTCATAGTTTCCCCTACAGCTGTGTCAGCTGTAGTTATCAATGAGATGTGACATATCCAGACACTATTTTTTTCTGCTCTTTCCAAATTACAACATATGTAGCTGGTTAGCAGATAACAGGTTCAGCTACACTGGATACCTAAAATAAATGTTCTAACTCAAGAAGGGAGTTGTAAGTAGTGAGAAGGGCTCAGTAGGTAAAAATGAGTAAGATAGGAATCATCAAGATATGCAAGGTTTTAACTTTATTTGTACATTCTAAGTAACACAAGACTTAACAGATACTATGAAAAGCAAGCGGAGACTCCTGTTGTGTATGGATGAAAACTCTTTCTCTGTACAAATGCGTTGCTGCATGGGAGTTCAGCTAGAAGTAAAGACTTTAATACTGATCATAGCAGGTCATACAAATGTTAAGGTCAGAGCTGACTTTTTTTTCAGATTTAAAAAACAATAACAAAAAAGAAACCTGTTGTGTGAAATGCCGAGCATCAGCCCTCCCCTACCGTTAAACAGCATCATCCAATCTCATGATATTTCCTCCTCCATTCCTTTGTTTGGCAGCAGCAGCAGAGAAACACTCATTAGTAAATGGGTGCTGAACACAGAAATAAGAATAGCCATTTAAGGGCTGAAAAACATCTCTGTAGCTGCAGGGCTGACAACTTCATTGGTACCTCTAAAAAAATCCTACAGATCTTAGTGTAATGGGAAAAAAAGACCTTTCCACTACAAATGATCATTACCATTCAAAGTTTTTCAGTGCTGATTCATTTGTGGTAGCTCTTAAAGCCCCCAGCCCTCAGCTCATTTTCAATCTGCCGCTCACTGCAAGGTCCCTCTGCTGTAGAGATTAATGAAATTTCCTATAAATCAGCCAAAAGTGAAGTCTTATAAATTACAGCAAGCTTAAAGCATATTTATAACCCAGAGCACCCAAATGCATAATACATGTATTCAGTAGAACAAAACACTGTCAGGCAAAGGTTTTCTACTCCAGGCTCTAAATTGTTTCATTTTGTGTAAAAATCTATCTTTCTTAAAAAAATAAAAAGAAAACAGAAAATATATTAACTTGCATTTCACAGTAATTCATTTAATGAAAGACTTTTTTCTAATTACCTATTCAGAAAATACATTTTTGAGAATTTACTTCTTCATTTTTTTTGAACTTGTTACAATATTTCAGACCTAGCAAGTGTTTTCTTCTCAGTTTTAATAATTTACTGAAGAGAAAGCCAATATAATGGTTAAAAAAAATCTGTGAATCGTAATTGGAAGATCTGGGTTGTACCTGTTTGTCTGATCTGCTCTAAAAGTGCTATTTATAAAACATCAGCCTTGTTATGAAAGATTCATGAAACTAATGTGTTTTGCAACCTTGGCCAAGTCACTGAACTTTTCTCTCCATAGCTTACACTTTTGTCAGATGTCTCTGGAGAACCCTGAGGCTGTGGTGTTAGATGTTACTGCTCCTGGCTCTCCTTCCCTTCCTTCTGCCAACAGCTAACCACTGTACTCCAGAACATCAGTTTCACAGGTTTAGGATAATGTACTAGCCTCTGATGAGGGATGGCTGCGGTACCTGCCTTCCTTTCTCCTACAGGCTTAAGAGGTGGTCCTTGATCTTTTCAGAGGAGCTGACCACGACAGATGGAGAAACACTCTCAAACTACATCACTAGAATTCACTAAAAGACAACTTCTCTTCCATAAAAAAAGCCAACTGTAATAAAAATAACTGCAAAACAGGGGTGAAAAGCACTTGGTTCCCATCTTTCTTACATTGTTATGAAGAAGAATCTGCCTGTTGAAGCCGACAGAATCACATCAACGAGTATAATACCAATTTCAGGCTCTTTAGTTAAGATCTGTGATCCGTGAATTTTGCTGTGGAATAATTATTAACCATCTTCTATGATCATTAACGTGATTGTATTAAACTTCTCGTTTGTCTCTAGTTTTGTTTTATTGGGTAGATTTGTCTTTTTTTTTTCCTCTCTCATTTTTTCTTAATTCTTTTAAATCTTATCCCCTAAGGACTTGGACTGAATAATGAATTCCATTAACAAGTAATAAAACAGATACAAAAACACATTGAACCGAACTTTTTACCATTGTGCAATTTTATCGTCTTCACTGTAACTAAGATGCGAACTCAGTCTGCTCTCTTAAGCTTCAGGGCCACTAATTTTCGTTGTATGCCTGGCATGGTGTGGGACTGGCTTGTAAAACTACAGGATTCTTTCATGTTTTATCTCATACCTATTTGCTATTAAATGCCAACTTTGCGAGATACCATATGATTTCTCTACCTTCTCTACCTTTCTTTTTGCTACTTTCCACTCTCATTCCTGTCTCCCATATACCTTGCAGGAACAGGAAAAGTAGGGGATTATTAGAATAAGAAAATGTAGCAAGAGTAAGAAAGGATATGAGAGAGCAAGCACCTTCAGCATCTGCCAGTGTATACATAAACTTCCATCACTTGCTTCTTTGCCAGTCTCCATAAAGCTGGGCATGTCAAATCATGCTGCAAGCACTCCAGGGCACTTCCTTTCTATTCCTACTTTTAGCTCCCAAAGGCAGCTGGAAATCCCACCAGGCCCTTCACCCACATCCAAAAATCTTTCCCTTTCCATCACTACCTATATGCTTCATGGGGAAAAAAAAGACTAAAACCTTTTATTTGAAAACAGTATTTCATTATGACAAATAAAATATCCAGCTATGAGATTGATAAGCATAATCTGTTCCACCCAAAGCAAAATATTTCCATGTCTTGGTTGCAAAAAGTTTTTGAAAATAAATGCTTTTGTTTTATTTTGAACTGAATTCCTTATATCCACCCTATATTTGATTACCGATTCAAAAAATGAATTAGCCACATAGAACAGCTCTTTCCTTGTGCTGAAGGCCAAACTAGCCTTTGGCATTTATGTTTACTTTTCTCATCTGGGACCTGTGCTACGTATATCTCAATCAGCCATACATCTCAGAACTATGCTCTCCCAAAGCCCCTTAGGGAACATTTCTACATTATTTATATCTATATGTACTTCAAATATAAACTTCTCACTGACTCCTTATTTGTTTTGCCTCAGTGTATAAGTTCCAAGTCAGGATTGCCATTTTCTGATGGCAAGTTCTAGATATGTTTCCATACGTTTTGGTGTGTTTGTTTTTTCTACCTCTAGCTATATCCTGCTTAAAATATGAGAGATCTATATCGTTATTCATCTGGAATCTTTTTTTATCTTTGTGAGAGGCAGAGAGAGTGTATCTTAGCTTTTGTAACCATCACTTGATTTAACTTTGTATTTATTTACGTTACTAAACTTTTTTCCCTCTGCTTTGGTAATACAGGAAGAAAAATCCAGTATTTAGCATAAGACCACACTAATTGGGCTTGGTACTGCTGAAGTACAGGGGATCTGAGGATGCCAGAGAGTCACCATGGCCAATAGAAACTATGACAGGCATCCACTTGCAAGCCCTCGCTTTCAACCTGTGAGCTTTGCACGAGGCTAAGTAATATATGGCGGTGAGATTCCTTGTCATGCTATGAATGTATTAAGGTCCTCTCTGTTAGACTGGTAGCTCTCCACCGCTCAGAGCTTAGCATGCCGGAAGTCTTTGTGCAGTCATTTTATCTCACAGTCATTTTAAATCACACTGGGAAAAAATGTAGCCAGTGCGAAAACACAGTGGAAAAATTCATTTAAAGACTTGAAGAATATTATGGAAATATTTTAATGGGCTTTACATAAAGGCCCATCTGGAATTCTGTACTAGAGTAATTTGCTGTTCAATATCTGTCTATTATGCTAGAGACACACATGAAGGTTTAGCTTTATAAATCCACACATGGAACACAGACCATCAACCAGTTTCTTTAGTTTCTATTGACAACTCTCTGTTTTCTGAGGGATATTTTGGCATTTTTCTAGTACCAAAATATCAACTCTATGGTCAATTCAATAACACTAGTGCCCTCTGCTGTATATATTTAAAACGGAGTTTAAAATGCTGTCCTCACTGCACAGTGACTTCCCCAAACACCATACAATTATTAAATTGTGTTTCCAAACATGACCTTAAATCTGTCCCTGGAAGTGTTCTAATTACCAAAGCATATGTTATCTGTCATTTTAGTACAGTAATATATGTTTTGTTTATGGTCATAGACACATACACACAGGCATTTATTTTGTTCTCTATTTCCACAGATTTCAGAAAATCTTTACTCAGATAGGCATTTGATATGCACATTTTTCTCTCTCTCTGATAATTCTTCAGTTAGTCCCAATGTACTACGTATCTGGCTTTGAGCAAAAAGCATTACCTTCTTCAGATCTAATGTAGAAGACAAAGGAAGTCATGACAAAGCTAATCTACCTCTGCAGAGAGATGCAGCTTTTTTTTAGGGACAGCCTTAAGGATTCAGCAGTTATGCCACTATAAGGTAACTTTGCTGAACATGTGCATGCAGAGATGCCTTCCTAAGGTGCACTGAAATGGAATAGACAATTCATTTTTCTATTTTTTGTAATTAGGCCTTAGGCCTGATGTGCTTTGCTCATTTTACCAGTGTAAAGTGGCTATAACCACTCTGATCGCTGACAGATATTCCTGTAAGGGAGAGCTTTAATTATAGAACAGAAGTCCCATACCATTCCCAAAGATCAGCCTAATGAGATACGACAGGTAGCAAAGATATTTTTCTAAACTCCAGTGATCCTTACCTGCCACACTGGCAGTTTAGTTGCTGTTGGCAACTCATTCTTAGCTTTCTAGTGTGTGGGCCTATGAACAATTATCTCAGCAGTGAAGTGATGCAAAGACCATGGTTTTATGCCACTT